GTGTACTGCCTGGCGATGGCGGGGTTGTCAATCGAGCGGAGGAAAACCGATTTGTTTGCCTGAACATTACAAAAAAGGGACAGTAAGCATCGGAAGAAGCTTTAGATTTGCACGAGTTCCAGCAAAGTATCAATGCCATACCGCATATGCGATCCGTTCGCCCTTGGCGTCCGCAGAAAGCTGGGTGGGCTGACCCCTGGTGGTGGAGGGGCTGGCAGCCCAGATGGACTCTAGGTGGCCTGTTAGCAATGAATGATAATCAATCGGGCAGAAGGTGGGAACGGACCATTCGTGATAGACATGGTTGTATTTAAATGCAATGTCCGTCGCTAAATAAAGACACAAGTAGAATCAACCAAAGCTAGAGATGTTGGGTGAGGGAAACAGGGGAAGGGGGAGAAGCACGGCGATGTTTAGATTGTTGACGTATGGGTGGGGGTGCCGCCGAAACACATGGGCCGCGGATGCTGCCGTGGGTTGACCGGGCAGGTACGTACTTATATAACTACTGGTATCGTCTTATCAGAGGCATTAATGCTCATTCAGTCCAGTCTAGATTGCTGCCTGAAATTCCCCTTCGGTCCCGGTCATTGCGCAATGTCATATGTATTGGTTGGATTGAAATGAGGATAATGATGGTAATAGTCGTAGTTGTACATAGGCCATCCCGTCAAGGCTGTCTGGCTAGCAATAGAAGAACAAAGAGAGATAAAAACACCAAGGAATTCAAAAGCTGAGAATAAAAATGAAGTATCATATCGAAAGCAACCCGAGTCCAGTCCGTGACCCTACACCCATGTTATACAGAGGAACTCTAATCAGTAACCACTTCCTCCCTCCATCCGCGACCTTGCTTCGGCCGCCAGAACTTCCGGGTGTCGGTGAACACTGGGCATGAGACCAAGTCCAACAGCTCTCCGGATGGCCTTGGAGATCTTGCGCTGGTTAACGGGCCGCAGACCCGTCATGTTTCTGTGCTTTATCCGACCCATCGAGGTGATATATTCCGACATGACAGAGAAGTTCTGTGGTGCATCAATTGTCAGCAATCAGCAATAACCTCTAGAAAGAACCATGCTCTTTTTCTTTTCCAAGGGCTCAGAATGCATCGGCATACCTTATACAAATCCAGAGGGTTCAGGTTCAGTGCGTCAAAGGCATCAGTCGAGGGACTATAGCGCTTCCTCCATTTCTTCATCTCTGCCGGGCTGAGATCATGAGGGGCATAGAGATCACCGGCTTTCCATTCACGCGTCTGGTACCTCTCCAAGGCCCTGCTCTCACTCTGAGCCCGCTGCTCCTCGAGGAATCGGCGGCGGTCCACTGGCCCACGACGGCGGTTGTACACTTTGGGAGCTGTGTTGAAGCCAACGATTAGCAAAGGAACAATTGAAAGGGATGTGATCGTGATAAGTTCCCCCAAGATTCTGCCTATGAAGCGGGTAGAGACTGGGACTGAATAGTAGTATCACCTACACCGAGATCTGGGACCACGCTGAGGAGCGGGATTCGGAGCAGCAGCCGTCGAATTCCAGCGACAAGCAACACTAGCAGCAGCAGACACCGACCCAAAGGCCGAGCCAACGGTGCGCAGAGGCGACCACGAAAAGAGATGAAGAGCCATACTGGGACAGTGAGATGGCCAAGGAGTGGGGGAGGAGAATGACAATCCGGAGAGAAAAGGTCGGGGGTGATGAAGCTGGCCGACGATGCGATCGATTTTCTTTTTTCGGCACGCGCCAAGAGCCGCCTGGACTTCCGCCCGCAACTCCGTCTCCTCCATTTCATTCCCACCTCTCGATCCAAGGAAACACACCTCGGTGCCATTGCGTCAATTGGCCTGATTCTCCAATCGGTCTCTGCATCCCTTGACATCGTGCATAGACCGTGCTTCATGGTGTCTGACAAACAATTGTCTTATACTTCATACGTCTCTGCTGAAAAGAGAACTAGACAAGAAACGAAACACTCGACTTCCCTTCACCAGGGAGCTCCTCGCATCGACACGTCTTGATCAACATGCAGTCCCACCTGACTAGAAGGGTCTTTCGGGCCATCTTGAATAATGAGCCTCTTTCATCATCACGCTGTCACTATCGCCTCCTGCATACTGCTCGTAGCCATCGATCCCGCAAGCTAGGTCCTCTCTGTCCATACCATGCCCAGCGACGCGGGCTTTTCGCTTTTGCGGCTCCAACTGCCGAACCTCAACCTGCGATTCTGCCCTCTGAAACTGGATTGAAGCCAATGCGAGACTTGCTGAGATCACTGAGTGACCAGAGCAGAGGCCCCGCCAATGGAATTCTGGCCAAAGCTTTCCAGGACTTTGTCGTTGCACGCGCGGAAACGCCTGGAATCATTACGAACTACCATGCGAAGCTGCTTGTTACTACCTGGAAGTACCTCAGAGCCCGCGAGGAGGAACTGGAACGCATGGAATGGCAAAAGGTCTTTTCCACCGAGAACCTCGAGAATCTCCTCTACGTCCTGTCGGAGGCAAAATGTTTGCCAGAGGCGCACGAAACCGTGCGAAAGATGGCCCGTCTAGCTTTCTTGGAGCTTTGTGCGGATCATGGATTTGGGAACAATCACGTCAGCCGTCCTGCGCTTCTATCTTACATTCATATCCAGGCAACGCTTGGTAACCCAGATGAGGCGCGGCATGTGGTCGAGAACTTCTGGAACCGACTGAGCAAGACCAGTCCTTCCCCTTGGCTCACAGTCCTGAAAGGCTATGCCATTATCAACGACAGAAACCAGCTCAGACGCACCACGGAAAAGCTGAACGAGCACGGCATTATGTTTGATCAGCATGCCCATGAAGAGCTGGTCAGCATCCTCGTTGAACAGGACCTGCTAGCGGCATTGAAAATGGTCTACGAGAGTCTCTCGCTTTCCGGAGAAGAACCCTCCGTTCCCGCGAAGGAAGCTGTCATCCGCTACGCAATCCTGAAGGCCGAGACAGATTGGGCAAGCTCTATCTTCGAGTCGCTTTCGCACGCACCGATTTCGGAGACCATCAATATCACGCTTCTTTGGGAAGCTGTTCAAACTAAGAGTGCTGCGGCCGTCCAGGAGAAGGCCAGAATTCTGACCGCTGGGAACCAAGAGGCCAGCGAATCACTCACCATCTCATGCGTGAACGATCTGATGGAATACGCCAACTCTATCAAGAATCCTGAATTGACCGTAGAGTTCGCATCTCTCGCCTCCCAGTGGGGCCTGGAGCCGGACTTGCAAACCTACCTACTGCGACTGGAAGCGTACATTCAAGCTGGGGATGTGAAGACTGCACTGAGCTCCATGGAAGATCTGCACGACCCAGAGACCATCATGCTCGAGAATTTGCCATTGATGAACAAGCTGATCACCGTCCTTTGCTACTCAAGTCAGGAGGATGCCGTGGTGGAGAAAGTGGGCTCTCTCACCGATCCGTTGTTCGAGAACAATGTCCGGTTGGAAGCAGACACTCTGGCAGCGCTGACGCACATGCTATTGTACCGTCGTGAGTGGGAGGCCGTCTCCGAGCTCCTTCGTCCACGTCTCGGGCTCTACGACTCCGAAGAAAGAACCAAAGTCCGCAATACTCTCACCAACTTCATCACCGATCTGACCCAGGAAACCGATGACGCCTGGGAAATGTACAGACTACTCCAGCTCGCGTTCCCTGAATCCGGCGTCAGCCTGAGAACCGAGATAATGAGCTCATTCTTCAAGCGAGACCGTAGCGACCTAGCCTTCCTGGTCTTTGGACACATGCGACAAGCAGAAGACTTCGCACGACGACCCAAACCCGACACCTACGCGCGGTGTTTCCAAGGCCTCGCGCGAACCCAAGACGCCAAGAACCTCGAACTGGTCCACAACATGCTCAAGCTCGACGTGGAAGTCGACCTCAACACGCGCCTCCTGAACGGCCTCATGCTGGCATACGCCGCCTGCGATATGCCCGAAAAAGCGCTGGACGTATTCCGCGACATCCTGCAATCGGACGAAGGCCCATCCCACAAAACCATCACCATCTTCTTCAAGACATGTGAAAAACACCACAACGGAATCCAGGAGGCCATGCGGATGATGAGCAAGGTCAAGCGTCTCGAAATCACCGTTGATCGCCAACTGTACATGGCATACGTCGAGGCATTGGCCGCGCAGTGCGAGTTTGATCTTGCCACTGAAGCGCTGGACAAGATGCAGGCTGAGACTGGATACCTGCCGACTCGTAACTCGTACGTTTCACCTCTTCCCCATCTTTTAGTTGAACCCCAAGTTAGGTCCGGAAACATGTACTAACGTATACGCAACTACAGGATCGGGTTACTCTACAACGCCATCCCGTATCAGTACTGGAAGGATGAGGTTGAGAAGTGGGCCAAAGATAAATACCCCGCTCTGTGGGCGCAGTTGGAACAGATCGAGCGGACCGAGTATGAAGAAGGGCCGAAGTTCAACATTAAGGACAATGAGGTGGTCGTCTAGTCACTATATGCGTGTAAATTTAGGCTGGTGACATTTGTACTTTACTTCACTATTTATGTAGCATTATCTGAGCCTGCAGCATTACATATCATTCATGTCTAGTAACTTGTTATTTCCATTTATCCTGTCAACTACGCCTTGTACTCATTTATGCTACAAGACAGCTTAAATGGGATGTGGGTAGGAACTTGTTTGGCTGTGTCCTGTAGGTATGTCTCAAAAAATCCAACAGTTACGAAAGGTGTAATTTTGCAAGTGTGGCAGCAGTGAATTTCGACCTGACTATGCTGGGGGTGTATTCAAGTTGAATTATCAGAGCAAACTACTTAGATGCAAAAGGAAAGAAAACGAAGATGATGTATTAGGTCTGTATTATTCATGTCTTTTTTGTATCCCATGCAATGGACATCGTCACAATTAGAATATCCGTAACACTGCTGATGAGCAGTAGGTATGTATTTCCCGGAAAATGCATATCACCAAACAAACACAATCATAAAGAAAACAGGTATATCCGTCTAAGAGTCGTGTTTCGCGTTGAGCTGCGCAATACGCTTGGTCATGCTGTAGTCATCATTAGAAAAATGCATCAAATGTTCTGAGAGGGAAATGAACGACTTACAAGTCAAAGAAGGAGAACTGGCTCGGGCTGCTACCATACTCATACACGAAGCGGCTGGCAAGGTAGCTACCAAAGATGGCTCTCAGATAGTTCTCCGGCACCTATTAAATGGTCAGCATCACGTTGATGAACTATGTTGGGCTGTAAGTAATACTAACCCGCTGAAGGATGGTGTCGAGACCAATCTTCTGCAGAAGGAGGTTCGGCAGAGCATCGTGGAGGACGGAGCGGCGAAGCTCAACATTGTCCCACAACTCTGTCTTCTGAAGTTCTTCATCCAATTGAGTGATGGCAACACTGAGACGGTCGCTCAGGACGCTGCGAAGCAATCCTGTCTGCTCATGTTCGCGCCAAATCGCTTCAAACTCGAGAGTAGCATTTGACTTGATGACCTCCTGCACCTGCTTGACATATTCACTGTAGAATGTGGGCACGGTACCATCCTCGCGGATGCACATGTTCTCCACAAACTCTTCGTCGTCGAAAGACAGGGAAGCCAGGACCTCCAATGAGGAGGATGTTACACCTCCCTTGTTGGCAGAAGCATCCTTGAACAGGATGCAACCAGCCCTCTCGAGGCGAAGCTTGCTGTCTTGTGTAATGAACAAGTTTGCACCCTCGACAATGTACGGGATGGTGGCCTTTCCGTCCTTGATGAGTTTTCCAACGGTGGAGAGATCAATAGACTCAGGTCGTCCACCGCAAGGCACGAATGTATCATATTGCTGGTCACGACGCAGATGGAACAGGTTGCGGAAAATCATACCATTGTGGACCAGCTCGCCACTTGGCAAATGAACGTTGCTTTCATCAACCAGAACCCGATAACCCTTGGGTGAGAGCTTCGACAGGTCGAACTCAGAGATGGTTGCCCGCTTCTTGGCGAGTCTGACAAGCTCCTCATGATTCAGCCCCTGGGGATCAACGATCACACCGGACCCGTCGACAATGGCGGTGTATTTCTCATTGGACAGGAGGATCTCGTTAGAGCCCAGATCGCCGTCAGGCCCACCAGTCTGCAACTTTCGGATGGTGCTCGGGTCGATCTTCAGCTTGCGGTAGATACCAAGCACATACTGACGGACCGACAGGGTCGTCATGCCATAGGTATCATGAGGGATACCGCCGAGCTTGGGGCTCTTGCCCGTGAAGAACGACTTCCACCAGGGGGCACCGCGGTTGCGGGCATGTTCCGTGGCCCAGTCGACCAGTTCGGCCGTGTTCTCGTCGGGTCCCATGAACAGAATCTCGTCCTTGCCATGCAAGTCCACAATCGGGTCCTTGATTCCCGGGCTGACAGGAGGCAGCAGCAGGTCCAAGATACTGTCGATGTACTTCTCGAAAGCCACGCGGGCCTTATCCTGATGGTTAACGTCAAGCAGGATCACACCCTTTGCGCCACCTTCGGGGATATCCTTGTTCTTGCGTTGCTGAGTATTGGCAAGGTTGTAGTTCTCGTCGAATAGTGAGCGCGCATTGATACTGTAGGCCTCCTTGTTCCGACTCTTGACAATACGGATGCCGCCACGAGCAATATCCCGGAATCGCAAGTGGAATCCACGGAACTCGGAGCTGATTACCAAGAACATACCGTAGAGGCGCTGGGGATACTCATGTTCCGGCAAGAAGTCGGGGTTGAGTCGGAAGCTGAGAGCAACCTTGGTTGGGGTGAAGAAGTTGGTCTTGAGGATGGAGGCGTTGAACACGCGGAAGGCACTCATGACCATTTCGTCATGTTCATTGGCCGCAGTACTCGAGATGAGCTGCTTCAGCTTGTGGCCGTCCAACACCTCGTCAACCTGCAGACGCAGGTAACTCAGGGTGGGGAGGAAGTCATCCTCGGCGGGACCCCGCGTTTGCACGTAATGCGTGTTGGCGAAGTCCAAGTAAAGTTTGTGGATGAGTTCCGGGTACTTGTTGACGATCTCCAAGATGTAGTCCGAGGTGAACGTCTCGGTACGCAACCTCTTCTTGATCTTCGCCAACAGCTCCGCATGGACGCTGTTGTTCGAATCCAAAAGATCTGTCAGGGAGATGTATTCGGAGCCCAGTCGGTTCAGGAACTGCTGCACGAACACCCAGGCGCAGTGGGCATAGATTGTTTCCTGCAAGCTAAGGCGGCCACTGGCGAAATGGTGCTGGAACTTGTTCTGCGGAATGCAGTACAAAAGGGAGACTTCCTTGATGATCTGGTGGATGGCAGCCTCAATCGGGGGATACTTGGCGGCAATCTCCTTGTTAGGAAGAGGACGCAGGTAAAGCGAAATCACCGTGATGCCGTTGGAGAAGTTCTCCAGGTACTTCCGTGAGCTGGTCAGGCGGTAGTAGTGGTACAGATCGGAGAGCGCGCTGAAAAGCCCCATGGCAGAGCCTTGGCGGTAGGCAATGACTAGTCTCTTTTCGCGGCTCTTTTCAATCTCAAACAGCTCAATAACCGGGCCGGAGCGGCTCACGGCATTGCTGATGATTTCCTGGTAGATCGCCTTGGTGTTAGGGGTGGCTTTCTGCAGGAACCTCTTTTCGCCGATGATATCGATGTTGGTCTCGTACGGATCGGGATTAGGGTTGGCAAACTGGCACTTGTACACGAAGTAACAACGGAGCTGTTGCCCATCATCACCGGGGATAGGTGTCGGGGAACGGAAGGTCTCAACGCGATAGCTGTTGCCTTGAGTCGAGGGGTTGATATACTTCTTATCAATCCGCTGTTCATACCCGGGGCCTTCGACTGTTGCGATACCGGGCTTGCTGGTATCAATGTAGACAGCATGATCTTCTGCTTCCTTATCCAACCGGATTTCGAGCTTCTTGTCGTCACGGGCATAAGCTGCAACCTTGGCAGCATATAGCGAGAGAATCTGCGTGACGATAGCGTCCACAGACTCGGTCTGGAAGTATGTGTCGTCAATACCGAGCTGGTTGTAGAACCACTCGGTTTCTCCGACGACAAATTCAATGGGAATGAAGCCTTTCTTCTCCAGCTGATCCATGACTAGTGAACGAGAGAGCAAAGAGTCAGATGAATTGCCACCAATAGAACTAGACGGATTTCGAATTCCACTCACCTTGCTCCATTTGCTTTTCCTTCCCTTCGAATTTGGCCGCCACATAGCCGGGGTCTTCCTCGGAGAGAATGCGATGCTGGCCACCACCGGGGATGGCCAGATGTGTGGGCTGCGGCGATGGTTGGCGCACGCTGGAGCCAGCTACATTGTCAAGGATCTTATTGTGGGGGTGTCTTTGGAAACCAAGAGGAGTTCCAGCTCCTGACTGAGAACCATCGTTGCTCCCGTAGAGTTTCGGCCCCGTCCGCATGGGAAGGGTGTTGGTGCCATTGAGGTGGCCGTCGGAAAGAGGCGACGAAGAAGGCGCGGGAGAGACCATGATGGGAGTGGAGTGGCAAGAGGAGTATAGAGGCTCAATTGAACTCAGAAAAGAGGCGGCACTAGTGGGTTTTATACCTGCTACCTGGTGAGCCATGCATGGATTAACAAAGACAGGAGCCAAGCTGCTAGCGATAATAAGAAAACTGGTTCGTGCGCGAGAATGGAGGGGAGAGAGAGGGAGGGAAGCTGAAGCCGGGAAAGATAAGGCAGCCACACAGCTGCATGAAGATGTGCAGGAGATGGCGCCGGCGCAGAGAGATATAGAAGGAAGCAAGAAGGGAAAGAATGGAAATTCTAGACCACAAGCGACAAACCTACCTCAATGGAAGCGTCGATTGATGCAAAGGAAAATTGGTGATCTGGCGTTGCTACGGGCCAGGGCAATGACGAAAGCTCGAAGCTTATCGGGGAGAACAAGAGAAATGAGCCAAACAGACTGAAACGGGTTCACTTGTCGGTACCAGCCATCAACCGACACGTCACCAATAAAATGCACAGAGAGGTTGAGTTGAGAGAGTTTTAGGATTTCCACGAATGGAACGAAACACAGATGAGAGGGGAAGATGGGGAGAGAAGAGGGAAATGTTAAGTAGTGGAGAGGATCCAATTTCTCCAAGAAGGAAAGAAGGATGCGAATTCAAATCAGATCAGATCAGATCAAATCAAATCAAATCAAATCACAAGGGAAAGTTATTCACTGTGATGGACACGAACAAAGCAATGGAAATCCGGTGCGAATCCACACGGCAGATGCTGGCTCTTTATACAAACTGGAGCTGAAGCCAGACGAAGAGTCGTATTTCCCCAAAGGTAAAACAAATAATAATAATTGAATAATAAACATTTCTTATTATCACATCGAAAGAAAAAGAAGAATTAGAAAATAAAAAATAAAAATAAAAAATCAGAAATTTCCCAAAACGAAATTAATCCGAAATGGCACAGCCATTATTAAGTCATACCTGCAACACTTCTTTGGGAAGCCCAAATAGTTATCATTCGGCCAGCCAGCCAAACCCAGAGAGCCGGTGCTATGCGATCGGCCAGGAACGGGGCCCGGTCCGGGGCAAGTCGTTGGACGGCCTGGCTGTTTCTGCCTGAGGATCATGGATGGCCCGCCCTTGTGCATGGGTCTCCACGTTGCCGTCCTGGTCTCCAACTGTCAAATTCATGTTTTGTTCCTACTCAAGATACCACGGTGGCTAGATACTTTATGTAGTACAGATTCAATGAGGCTTGTACGCCGGGAGTAGACTGTGTATATGAAGCGGTACTTTCATCCATGGAAAAAACTTTCTATTTCTCTCCTTGCCTTACTCCCATGTACGTTCCCTTCTTTTCCCTTTTTCCTTTTCCCTTTCCCTCATTGATACTGGCCCGACTGTGCAACGGCTCCACGGCGGATGACTCGATTCACGATGCCAAGTCGAGTGGGTCCCAGCTTCCTTTTTCGGTATCGCGAACCATTTTAGTTCAAATGAGGCAAGTGTGAAAAATACCGCAAGATACCGACGTGATTGGTAGCCCAGGGCTAAAAATGGAAAAATTGCCTCAGATGCTTTGGAACGGGAGCTGGAGTCATTGTGGCTGGTTTTGCCGGTTCATAGTTACTAACAAGGTATGGAGTAAAAGGGAGTGTCACCTGAGTTCAGTCCAGGGGCGGCGGCGTCCAGGCACAAATTTAGAATAAAGTGAGTCTCTGTCGCGTGAGACTTCTACGGGATAGATCCAAATTGAGATCTATTACTCACTATAGATAGATAGTGTGTGAGTGTGTGTCTGTGTGAGAAACTCGATTGAGATGGCCGGTAAGGTCTTTGACCACCTGCATGCAGTGAGGTCAGTCAGTAAAAGTAAGTAAGTAATAAAGTCGGTAGAGTAGGTATATAGTAGAAGGCCAGTTACAATTCTTTCCCCGTAAGATACTCCGTTACAGCATCCATACTTGCCTCTAAATTCCCGGTTTAGTCAGCTGACCGGACCGGCTGGAGGGGGCCAACAACTCCACTTAGTAGGGCTGTAGGTTTCGAAAGGGGGTTTTGGTGTGTCATGGTGGCCAGTCCGCTGCAAATCATCGCCGACGATGCCGAATTTTGCAGGTTTCTCTGCGTAATGGCGAGCATCAACGGAGGGAAAAATGCCGCACTTGATTGCTTTTCGGGCTTATCATATTAGCAACCGGGGTTTCTTATCGGATGTGTGTGGCAGATAGATAGCAGCAAGAATTCGAGTACTTTGTCATGGTTAATTGTGATCAGTTGAGGGTAGTTTCTTCAATGATACTTACTACTTTAGACTACTATAGATACAGATTATCTTTTTTAGGAATAGATCTATCAACTTGGCCCAGAATCATTGGGCTCCTTTGTGTCCAGCCTGACAAAATGACTGATAACTAAACCTACTTGGTACTTGACCGCATTGAGGGAAGGATGGATCATACACACCGCCATTACAATACCACTTTTGGGAGATTTGCACTGTCGGGGATAATTGATTAGTTACTTGGTATTGGGTAACCACTTAGTACAAAAGAAGTAGTATTGAGTTAGCACGCAATTTCCAATTTCTTTGAGTGTGAAGTCATATGTGTCCGTCGAAGTTTCCTCACGCATCTAGACTTGCGGGGGGGGATGGTCGATCGGTACCTGGAAGATGGCCCGTGGCTACCATTTCTGTACTATTCTCAATCCATTCCTAGTCAACTTGCGGGGAGGGGGAGGGTTTGAGGGAAACTGCCTCCTACTAGTCTCCAACAGTCCAACTTCCCCAGTCAAATGAAATGCTTCGGAATCCCCAGCCGGAATTCCCATTATTAAAATGGCTCAAGCCTACCCCGTGCTATTACCCCATAGAAAGTCCGTCCGCGTATCCTCTTTTCCCCAAAGTTCCAAATTCCCAACATTCCCCTCTTCTTCCAGAGGCGGGGGTGGATAATTGTTCCTTTCCCTCATTCTCTTTCAATATCTTTCGCCCCTTCCCCTTGGCTGGTGGAAGTGGAACGGATGGGGATCAGACTTCCAAACATGAGTGGTTTTGCTCTAACCCACCGGAGGCTCCACTTGCTCGTCGTCTCGAATGGTCCATATGAAGTAATGAGAACTCCATCACTGGAAGACAAAAGAATACTCCCGGACCATGCGCCATCCCCAGCGGCTCCCATTCGCTGTCGGCTGCTTCGTTCGGTTGCCGTGATTCCTTGATGCAATGACGTACAACCCGCCATTCGCTGCCTGGATGTAATCCAGACATGCCAGGATGAGGCACGCACAAGCGGTGTCGCGCATTCTGCATCTTGTGACTCCCGAGTATTTTCACCGTCTTTGCTACTTGATTGCTCGAGCTCGGCTGCTGGTCGCTGATAGGTGTTTAGTCTTTGGACTTGTATCAAAGATACTCAGCTGAATAGGCTCTCGGACAGCTTTGCATGAAGACACGGCTGCTGCTGGGAGGAACTTTATCCCGGCGACATATCATCAGCAAGTCCGATCCCAACAGGTCACATACCAAGGCCAACTCTGTCACCTGCATTTCAGAGTTTCGAATGGTTGGATACAGTCAAGGCTGCTTGGTCGCTGCCATTGCCCTCGTGCACTGGAGGTAGTTAGGGAGCAGTATAATGGCTGATGAGCTGCAGACATCTATCATTTACACTCTGCAGCATCTGCATGCAAACCACGTTGATCAGCTTCCGCTTGGTTTGCTCTCACTCCTGCATGGTGCAAACTGCAATACAACCGGCTTGAGGAGCTTGTGGTCGTCTTCGCTCACAATGAGTAGGTCCTCCGATAAGATCCTACTGGACGGGATACAGTTCACCTATCTATATTGCGTCGGGTGAACCCATCCATAATGCACTCAGCGTGCTGCATGGTGAACTAGTTTACACCTGCAATGATTGTCATTATAAAAGTTCGAAGTTGATACAGTGAAACTTTGCTCTACTATGTGTACAACCAATCGAACAGGCAACGAGTGCAATGGATCGAGATAGTGCTGTAGAAGATTCATGAGGGCTGATGATGGTAAATACCCGTCACAGCGGACTTTACACTTCCCCTATTTCTCGCTGTTCAAATCTATGTGATCCCTTTCCAGGCTCTCTCATAATGCAAGGCACACAGAAACAAACACATGAGCGTCCTTATCATGCATCCGAGGGTCCCACTGATCTGGCCATCATTAGCAGGCCCAGATATAGAACGTTGAAATAACATACAATAGAGGCTAATCCCTTTTGGTTTGCCAAACTTTTAAGCTAGAGACGCCTAATATGTCAGGTGACGCTGACAGCTGATAACCTACGGACTCCTCAGTGCAAAGACCACTCTGCATTAGGCAGTCTCCATATTACTCAGAAGGGAATCATTAGATCACACTATCAATCTCTAGTCGTCTACAAACAGCTACTATTGAATTCTGTCTGTCTGTCTGGTATAATTGAAACAATATGATACAACCTCCATCTACCGCTTCTTGATGCTCACATCAATGTTACCAATTGCCCACGCGGCAACGAACACGGTGAACAGGCCAGCCGTGATGGTCACGGGCTTGCGCAGTCCATCCCACAGAGAGTAGTCGTAAGTGATCTATATCCAATGTGTGAGCTTGACTATTCCCGATATTTATCCGGTGTATGTAGGTAGTTACTTACCACAATCTGCGAGTCACGGGCCTCATCCGTCAACTCCTCCACGGTCAAAGTCAGCGCCGTGCGTCCCAGGGTATCCATGAAAGTCTTGTGGCTGGTGAGCTCAGTCTGGATCTGGTTGGCACCGGGGAGGCCATTGCTAGTCGCCTTCTCGAGAAGCTCGTAGCGGACGTTCCGGGCACCCTCGGGGAGGATGATGCGCACGACAGCCTTCTCGTACTGAATACCCTCGGGGACCTTGGGGCCCTCGATGAAGGGGACCTTCAGGACGTAAGAATCAGCGCCGGTGACAGCCTTGCGAAGGAAGGCAGAGAGGTCGTTGTTCCAGCCAATGCGGAAGCTGTAGTTCCATCCGCCAAAGATGGGGAAGCGGGGACGGAGCTCCAGGGAGGCGTCGCGGTTCGGGACCTTTCCGGGACGGTAGCGGCTCGTGGAGACGTTGCCAATGTCGTCGGTGAAGTAGGGGTCCACGGAGCCCGGCTTAAGGGGGATCTTCAGCTCGCGAATAGCGGAGGATGGCAGCTGCTGGTAGCTGCTGATGGTCCATTCCACGCGGTTGAAGTTGTCAGTGAGCTTGGAGCCGTTGTTGCGCAGCCAGTAGCGCTCTTCCGTCGCCAGGTTGCCGCCCCAGTGGGACACTTCCAGGTCACGCTCCAGAAGAGTGGCAGTGATGACGGGCTTGGTGAACTCGTACCGGACACTAGCCGGGTAGGTGGTCTCGGGAGCGATGTCGGCGTAGGGTCCGTAGGTGTAGGTGGCACCCTGGCGCTCTGGATCCGCGCCCGACGTCAGGTCCGTGGTGGTGTAGTCGGGGACAATGGTGCTGGGGAACTTGATCTTGGTCTTTTGGGTCGCGGTCGTGTACGCCGAGGGAGCGTAGGCCGAGAAGGCATAGGCGAGGTACTGGCGATCAGTCTGGCTGATGGCCGCAGGACGAGGCTTCAAGGTGTTGAGGGCGGAGTAGGAGATGCCCAGGGTGATTTGCGACGAAGGGGCAAGAGGCTTGGGAAGGTGAACAACAAAGTACTGGAAGTCCCTGTATGGTCAAGAAGACAAAAGATCAGCAAGCCGTTCTAGATACATCCACCATGCATAGATCAAGCAACCGTGGCTTCGTCCTACACCAACCCAGCCATTGGCCGCCATTGCGGACGACTTACCTGCTCGAGTCGAACTCAGTAGCTTCCACCTCGAAGCGTCCCTGTTCAGGAGCCGATTTATCACGGACTTCTAGGGCACCGACCTTGTCGTAGAGGTCTGACGGGAAGGACAAGTAGTAGTCGGACTGCGGCTTCTTGTCCACATTCTCAACGACAACATTGACAGTCTCACGCAAATAACCCTTCTCCAAATTGGTGTTGCGGACGAGATTGGCGTTCTTAAACACTTGGGGAGGCTTGAAATCGCGAGGAAGAGCTACAGGGGAGCTCGAGGGAGTCGAGTCGGCATAAACCAAGCTGTTGCTGCTGGACAGGAACAAGCCGCACAGCGCAGCGAGTGCGGTAAACGGCCTCATAGTGGGCGATATGGGCGGTCTTTCAACGACCGCGCCTAGGACCTATACACTCACCAGGAGATAGTCCCAAGGAGAAAGAAATGAGCGAGAAGATGGACGGGAAGGTGGGAGGAATTGGGCGATAAGTCGAGGGGGAGAAAGAGACGCGCGGAGATGCTGAGGTGTCCCGATGCGGGATTACGAATTACGTACGGCGACCGCCGCGGCCAAAACTTCCTGCTTTTATCGCCGATAACCCGCGATTCCTCCTTGCAACTCTATCCCCGCACTGTCTAGCTACGAGACTCTCGTTTTTTTGCTTTTAGTTTTCAGTGTCCCAACCATCGTGGTCTCCATGCTCGCTTCTCGAGCTGCTGCTCGTTCATGCTGCCGGTCAGCTAGAGCCCCGGCACGAGCCGCGGTAGCAGCCCGGCGCTATCACGGTCTCGCTCAGAGCAAGCTCTTCAAGGTGTCTGAGGAAGTCCGCGATGCTGTTGCTACTGGGAAGCCTGTCGTGGCTCTCGAGTCGACCATCTATACTCATGGTATGGTTTCTACCTGCTTGGTTGGTTGGGTATAGCTGACAGTTACAGGATTTCCCTATCCTGAGAGCGTTGCTCTGGCAGAGTTGCTAGAGTCGGTCGTCCGGTCCAATGGCGCTGTGCCTGCTACAATTGGAATTCTTGGTGGCGAAGCACGCGTTGGATTAAGTCCCGAGGAGCTTGTCGAGCTAGCATCAGCTGCGGAGAAGAAGAATGCGCTGAAAGTGTCTCGGCGAGACCTTGGTTACATCTGTGGCTTGGTGGGTGGGATGATTCCTCTTATCGATACACATCTGACAGTAGTAGGGGCTGGCTGGCAAACGCCTTCATGGGGGTACAACGGTGTCTGGCACGATGGTGCTCGCGCACTTGGCGGGGATCAAGATATTCGGCACTGGTGGACTAGGTGGTGTGCATCGCGGCGGCGAGAACTCCATGGACATCTCCGGTACGTGCAGCTATGGATATAACGAGAGTCCGGCTAACTGTAGCAGCCGACCTTACTGAACTGGGACGCACACCGGTGGCGGTTGTCAGCTCTGGGTGCAAGAGCTTCCTGGACATCCCGCGTACGCTCGAATACCTCGAGACGGAGGGCGTCTGTGTGGGAACCTTTGCCGATGGTCGCCAGGGCTCTGTGGACTTTCCTGCATTCTACACCCGGGACAGCGGGCTGAAGAGTCCAAAGGTCATTCAAAATGAGGCCGAGGCCGCGGCTATTGTCTGTAAGTCTTGCTGCATATCTCACTGACGCACATAAGATACTGATGAATACAGACGCCCAGTCGCAAATCCCCGTCTCGTCGGGCATCCTTCTTGCCAACCCGGTACCACTTGAGCACTCTGTTGCAAAGAGTGATATGGACCATATCATCGACGAAGCTCTTCGCCTCGCCGACGTCGAGGGCTACCATGGAAGTGACAACACGCCCTTTGTGCTGGCCAAGATCAAGGAACTCAGCGGCGGAAAGAGCGTGATTGCCAACCGAGCTCTGGTAGAGGCGAACGTGAAGCGCGCGGCCAAGGTTGCCGTAGAACTCTCCAAACTGGAGCGGTCTGGGGGGGCGCTCAATGAACGGTGAGCTGCCACTCGTGCGTTCAGACTCGGGATATCCTAATTGAGATGGTGTGCGCAGACACATGCCAGCTTTCTCCGGGACCAGTAGGGCTGACCAAGCGACTGAAACAGAGCTGGAGCATGCAACTAAGACTCCACTGGAGACTATAACCAAGGCGGATGTCCTCGTGGCTGGCTCCTTGGCCATCGATCTTTCCTGCGACTTTGCCCCGGCCGAAGCAAACACCACGACGCCCGCTTTGCAGACATCAAACCGCGCCGTCATCGGACAGAGCCTAGGGGGAGTTGGACACAATGTGGCCATTGCCGCAAGGTATCTGGACAGCTCAGTGTTGTTCTGCAGCGTTGTGGGTGATGACCTAAGCGGCCAAGCTGCGCTGTCCAGTCTCCGACAGGAGGGTCTCTCCACAGCCGCCATCAAGGTGCTCCCTCCGTCCTCCGGAGCACGCACGGCCCAATACATCGCCGTCAACGATGCGAAGAAAGACCTAGTGGTAGCCATGGCCGACATGGCAATCATGGAACTGCCAGAGCAGGCACTAGACTTTGACAACTTCTGGGAACCAATGATGTCCCGCGCACAGCCTCAATGGGCAGTAGTCGACGGCAACTGGAACGACGAAGTCCTAAGCAAATGGGTATCCCTAGCCAAGAAGCACAAGGCACGGGTAGCCTTTGAGCCCGTGTCCACAGCGAAAAGCCGTTGTCTATTCAGGTCCGCCATCAAACCACCTGACTGCGTTCCCAACAATACCGTCAGCCTGGCCGCCCCGAACCAGTTCGAGCTCGCAGCCATGTACCAGGCCGCGCGGGAGAACGGACACCTTGACTCAGAGGAATGGTGGCGGATCATCGACGCCATGGGCATGACGGGATCAGGGTCGCGCGAGCGACTAGTGGCCATGACCTCGGCGACGCTGGTCGACCAGGGAATCCCGCAGCAAAGCATCCAGCTACTGCCGTTTATCCCATGCGTGCTCACCAAGCTAGGCCGGGAAGGCGTGCTTCTGACGCAGCTGCTGCGGCCGGGCGATGCGCGACTGACGAGTCCGGAGTCAGCACCGTATATCCTCTCGCGGGCGTTGACGTCGGACGGGCTGATCGGGGGAGTGTACCTGCGGCTGTTCCCAGCTGCAGCAGAGCTAGATGAAAAGGACATTGTAAGCGTCAACGGAGCGGGCGATACGCTGCTGGGAGCAGTAGTGACAGGACTGGCGCGGGGAGGAGCTGTGGAAGAGGTGATTCCACGAGCACAAGAAGCGAGCGTAATGACATTGCAGCAGGAGGGGGGAGTAAGTAAAGAGATATCCAGACTGGCTGGAAGTATATAGTGCGTTCATACTCATCCATGATCTATGAATTCGCGTTAAACAGACATGCTACTACTACTATACATACTACTACGCACACCAAAAGAAACCAAAACATCCACCCTAAGAAACAACCATATCCACCCCCTCCGCCCCAACAACAGGCAACCCATCTCTACTCAAAACCCCCACCTGCACCAACACACTGGCCTGATCCCAATAAGCATGCACGCGGGCGACCTTTCCCGCCGTGAAACTGGCCACCAGCACCAACGCCACCTTGACGTCCTTCCCCGTCGGGGGCAGGTTCGGCAGTAACCATGGAATGGCACGATCATGCGTGAAGGTTAGGAGAAGTTCATCGACGATGCGATCAGGCCCTGTAGTGCGGGAGAGCAGACGGATGGATTGGTTAGAGGGGGAGGGAGTGGGAGAGAGGAAGTGGCTGTTGGTATAGAATTTCGTTATGGTGGAGGGGGTTGTTCCTATGCCATCATCAACTTTCATTAGTATCTCGTCATGTTCACTATATGTCATGTCTCATGGTGATGGAGAACAGAAGGAAGGGGGATACATACCACCAGCACAAGTAGGCACACACACCACGACAGGCGACTCTTCAATCGTGCATGTCTCTGTCTCTGTGCCCTTCCCGGCACCAGTATATAAATGTGAGGAAGAACTCCCACTACTATGCACACTCTCCATCTGCACACCCATTCCGCTGCCCACCATCAACCCTACTAATTCCGCTGCGCGGTGACTGCGCTCGTCTTCTTCGTCTCGTTCACTACCCCCTTCCCCAGAAGTGGAAGACGAAGACGATAAACACCGCCAATACTCCTCCCACACGCTCTCGACATCAGGCACACGCCATTTCGTCGCGGGCCATCCGAACCCCCGCTTTAGGGTCTCGAGGGCGCGAGACCACGCTAGGCGTGCGGAGAGCTTGTCATAGTTCGACGAAGAAGGCTCAGCGAATCTAGGTGATGATTCGGGGTAGGTGAAGACGTGGCAGCGGTGGCGTTTTCGCGGGTGGTTTTTGGTGCTGTTGAGGAGGGTGTCTGCGATTGAGGAGGTGGTGGTGGATGTACCGGCGAGGTGGATCTGGATACAGAGGAGAGGGATGGAGGGGGGGTAGGTTGTGGGTGTTGTTGTTGAGGATGTACTTCCTGTTGCTCCGCGAAAGGTATCTGGGGATGTACTGGTGAGGTTACTGCTGTTGTTGGCGGTGCTGGTACTGGTGAGAGGTCCTTCGGGGTAGTATGCCACTAGGGCACAGAGTCTGGGGAAGGGGTTTGTGGCTGTTAGTGGTTGGTGGTGGGATTCGAGGAGGAGGTGGGCGGGTTTGTTGTATGCTTTATACCATTAATATCAGTCATGTATACCATGGAGTAGTTGTTAAGTAGGGTAGGGTATGATGGGAGGGAGGGGCGGAATTACCAACGACAGCATATCTCTCGCCCGGCTCGAGATCATCTTCCCTCTCATGCAACAGATTCTCCAGTTCCTTGCGCTCTTTATCTACATCCCCACAGCCATCTACTGCATTTTGACACCCCCGGAAGGGGAGATACTCGACGTCGAAGCCCTCAGCGCGGAAGCGCGATAAGATTCCCGCGTCGAAGTCGGGAGTATCGGAGGTCAGGTATAGTCTGCGTGGGGGAGAGGCTTCTGCTTCGCGACGACGACTGTGTTTGTCGTTGGCTGATGGGGGAGATTGTAGTGGTGTACCATAGTTGCTGTTGGTAGGGTTTGTGCCGGCGGAACTGCTGCGGCGACGACGGAGGTGTTGGCGGAGACGGTCCATTCTAGTAGTATTATTTTGAAATATTCCAGTATATAATGTGGTATAGTAGATGTGCTAAGTAGTATGGTCATCCATGGTGCGAACTCCGAGCATCCCGATTCATATATATACTGTATGCTGGTGGCTTATGCTTTGGCGGACATGCTCAGTGACGTCGACGATTCCAGGGTGTTGTTCTCATCTCACAGGGCGACGTGGATCCATTCAGCCAGGGACGGGTTGAGTAGTATGAACTTTGTGTGTACACCGTCAGTTCGTTAGTTGTAGTTGGGTTGTAAATCAGCCCGATCCATTGCATACATATGTGCGTGGCAATTCTATCGCATTATCGTATCTATCGTGAGTCAGTGACGTCGATCTATATACAAGTCTCGAGTTTTCCCATCCCTCGCATAGCGCCACCGCTCAATGGCGTCAACCACTATACCACAATGCTGCTGCAACATCTACTCGAAACTGGTCAACCAGCGAATCTCCTCCCTTACATTCCCCTCACTAGTCGGATCCTCAACCAAATAGCACCGATACGCCGGGCGCTGCAAACTCCGCCTCGCGACCTCACAATCCACGCGAATATCCTCGATCAACGCCTCCGACGAAACATAATCATATTCAGGACGAATATATCCCAGAATCAGCAAGTTGAGTGGCGTGCCATAAAAGTCGGGCATTTTGTGGAAGGTGACCTGTCCGTCGGTAGAAGTAGTGGCGGTCGGCGAGGGGGCGGAGAGGGGCGGCATGATGTGGATTTCCTGCATTGCAGACAATAGAGCATTAATCTATTGCATATTCAAGTGGTGTATATAAAGTGACAAAACTGGGAGGTGGGACGTACAATTGACTTGGACTCGTTCTTGTAGAAAGGATTGTATCCGATGCTCAGCACCGCCGGGCGGATGGTCTCCCCCGTTGCGAAGCGCGCTGGATCCAGCGCCACGACGCCGTAATAAACGCCTACGGATAATTCGGGATGCTGGGAGAGCTCATCGGCAGGGATGTTTGCTGTTGGAATGCCCAGCTGTGGTTCTTTGCGTCAGTTGGAGCTGCTGGACTTCCGGGTTGGAGGTGCAAGGTACCTCTTTGCTGCCCCGCCCGAAGCCTTTGATGACAGGTCCACTCATGCGGATGGGATACGGGGGCTCCGGTCCCTCTTCGGGACCGGTGACGGGGTCGCGAGGCCGATCGGGGCGCATTTTAGAAGCTGAGATGAGTGGATGGTGTTGAAGTAGTGATAGGTGGAGGAAGAGAGAGAGAGAGCGAGAGAATAAGATGGAAGAGAGATCGGCGATAAGACAGGTGGGGCTATGGACTATCAAACGATGCGATTGTGGAGTTCAGGCTTCATCAGGGCATCCACCAACTGGCCAATTATCTACTCCCTTTTCCAGCTTATAGAGTTGCACTCTTATTCGCAGATAGATAAAATGGTATATTTCAGGATTATCTACGTTCATCCCGTTTTGCCGTAACTCCGTTCCTCTAATGGATGATATGACTCGTACTATCAGTTTAATCGTAACTATTTTTACTCCATCTCAATCGTCGCCGGAGGCTTGCTGGAAATGTCGTACAGGACACGGGACACTACACCAATTAGCAGATATTCCTAATGTTGGAAGGAGAATGTAACATACCGCCGTGGACCTCGTTGATGATGCGGGTCGAGCACCGGCTCAGGAACTCGTTGTCGAAGGGGAATGCGTGAGCCGTCATGACTGCTTCTGTTAGTCCATCATCACCAGCAAAGTAATCAGCTCACTTACAGTCGGTCGTCTCAACAGCACGCAGGATGATGATCTCGGCGTACACACGCTTGTCACCCATGACACCCACCGCCTTGCTGGGGTCCAGGGCAGCGTAGGCCTGCGCAATCTGGTCGTACAGACCAGCCTCGCGGATCATCGAGATGAAGATGTGGTCGGCCCGGCGGGCAATCTCCACGCGCTCGGGGGTAACCTCGCCGAGAACACGGATGGCAATACCGGGACCGGGGAAGGGGTGGCGCATGACCAGCTCGTGAGCAATGCCCAGCTGGCGACCCAGGGCGCGCACCTCATCCTTGAACAGCTCACGGAGCGGCTCAATGAGTCTCATGCCCTGACCGTCAATCATGCGCTCTGTGAGGGATTAGCGGGTTGCCAGATATTCCAGAACCGAAATACTTACGGGGCAGACCACCGACGTTGTGGTGGGTCTTGATGGTCGCCGAGGGACCCTTGAAGGAGATACTCTCGATGACATCGGGGTACAGAGTACCCTGGAGGAACCACTTGATCTTGGCACCCTGGTGCTCGGCCTCGGCCTCGATCTTCTGAGCCTCCTCCTCGAAGACGTCAATGAAGGTGTTGCCGATAAACTTGCGCTTCTTTTCGGGCTCGGTGACACCCTTGAGACCGTCCAAGAAGCGCTTGGATGCGTCAACGACAGTCAGGTTGATACCGAGGTGCTTGTTCAGGGTCTCCTCGACGATGTCGCACTCGTTCAGACGCATGCAACCGTTGTTGACGAGCACGGCGTGGAAGCGGTCGCCGATGGCCTCCTTCATGAGCTTGGCAGCACTGCACTTATTAGCACCACCCAATAATTGAAACAATGGAAATCAACTTACACAGTGGAGTCGACACCACCGCTGACAGCACCCAGAACATGGTCAGTCTCACCGACCAGCTTGCGAATGCGGGCAATCTCCTGGTCGACGAAGCGGGACATGGTCCAGTTCTGTTGGGCACCGCAAATGTCGACGGCAAAGTTCTTCAGGATGGTAGCACCGAGAGGGGTGTGGGTGACCTCGGGGTGGAACTGCACACCGTAAAGGGGCTTGGTCTGGTGGGCAATACCGGCATAAGGGGAGTTGGAGGTGGTGGCGATGGTGTGGAAGTCGGTGGGAAGCTTGACGAGCTTGTCACCGTGACTCATCCAGACCTTGATCTGGCCCTCGAGGCCGGCGAACAGCTTGTCGACGTGGCCCTGGTCGTCGAGGCGCTTGGCGTGGAGGTCGGCGTGACCATACTCACGCTCGGTACCGGCGTCAACGTTGTCCTTGCCCAGACGGTAGGCGATTTCCTGCAGACCGTAGCAGATACCGAGGATGGGGACACCGAGGTCGAAGACGGCGGGGTCAGCGTGGGGGGCTGTAGTTGGATAGAATGAGTATATGACTCTAGAAAATGGTTCCGCGGGGAGGTTTCCGCTTACCGCCGTCCTCGTAGACACTGTAGGGACTACCGGACAGGATGATACCCTTGGGCTTGAAGGGCAGATCGGCGATCTTCTGAGTGCATGGCAGCATCTCACTGTAGACATTGATCTCGCGCAGTCTCCGGGTCAGGAGATGCGTCTGGGAGGGAGGATTAGTATGTGAGTCATGGGGATGGCGGGGTAATTGAAGCACTGGAAGCGGCAGAGAGAGTGTGGTATAGAGGGAGAGCGTACGTATTGAGAACCAAAGTCAAGGATGAGGATGGTGTCAAAGGTGGCATGGGGAACCTCCTGGTCGGCCATTGTGACGGTGGGCAGTCTATCAGACCAATTGATGAACTTTCGACTTGCAGCTGAACCCGACAAGAAGAAGATCTTCCATCTTTCTTTGCCGCTCGAGAATTTTTTTTCTCCCGGGCGGTGAGCCCCGAATGCGGAGGTGATAAAAATAGCCAATAGAATTGCATCTGTCAAAGGCGGTCGGATTGATAGCAAGCTAGATGTTTATCAGTCACGTGCTAATTACATAATATGCATAATATATTCCAGGATACAGAGCTATATATGCATGCCAGCCCTAAATACAGAACCGACGACAACAACAAAACCGGCAATCTCCTCGACAAGTCCAGCATGTGAAAACAACTCATCAGTGTATATAATGGAAATTTAGATCACTCGTATCCCCCACTTACTTGTTCAGAGATTTTACCCTCTCTCCAAATTGACTCACGACAATCTCTGAAAACCAAGAGCAACCGAAAGGACCCCACTAAGCCCGATATAAACTAAAGCTGCGGCTCCTGCATCCCAAATACGAGCAGGACCAGAGATTAACCCCCTGAACATGGTTTAGCGGCGGACTCTGCCGCCTATTTTAGGTAGAAGGGTCTTGTGCTTCGGGGGACAGTTCTGCGCCGAGTCTAAATGGGGAGGGCCACTACGACACTCTATTTGCTGAGAGGGGTCGATTAGAAGGATGAGGCTACGCTAAGAAGAACCTTCAGGGAGATGAGGGTCTCGTAAACACGGAATACAGGGTTCTTGTCGTCAGGGGTCAAAGTGTAGCTACTAACCAAGTAGATTTGGTTGTGACTTGGTGAGACATAAGTAGTACAAGTTGGGGCTGTTCCTGTTTCATTCTTTCTTTGTTGTAATCACACTCACACCTGCTTCCTATTCATCTATCTCTTTCCTCCTATACTACAGTCTTTACTCTGATTGTACCTCTCACTGTCCCTACCTCTACCATACACATACACACTTACACATACCTTCACCCAAAAAGGATAAAGACAACCCACCAACATGCAATTCGCCAAATCCACTCTCCTCACTCTCCTCCCCCTCCTCCCTCTCACTACCGCCGCCGACGTCTCAACCGTCTCCCTCTTCACCTACCACCCAGCGACCACCGCAGGGGCCAACATCCCCGAATTCTCTCTCTCCAGCGTCCCTCTCGGCGCCTCCATCATCAGCGCCAACCCCACAGCCACCACCATGGCCGTCTCATGCCTCAACGACGATAACTGCATCCTGCCCAGCCCCATCACCGTCACCGCAGGTCCCTCCACATACACTCTGTCCGCTGTGTACAGCACCAGCATGGAGGGTGTGCAGGAGGTGCTCACCATCGTCGAGGACTGCAAGATCACGGGCGTGACGCAGGGCGCGTCCTGCAGTGTGAGCTATGGAGTCGAGGCGACGTACAAGGGAGTTAGCACGAGTACGGCGAGCAACACTCAGATGAGTATCGCCAGTACGGAGATTGGGTATGAGACTGTCAGTGTCACTGGGGGTGCTGACAAGTTGAGTGGTGCGACTGCGGCTGGAACTGCTAGTGGAAGCACCGAGACGGGTATGGCTGGACGTAATGCTGTCGGGGCTGGAGCTTTGGCTATGGGTGTGGCTATTGCTGGGTTGGGGATGTTGTAGATTATGATGCTTGATTATGATTGATTAATTTATTGGAAAAGGGGTATTGTCGTGGAGGATATAATGTTTGGTTATTACGTCCATCTATGCTTAGTATATGTTGCTCATCATACTCAGTTGCAACTACATGGCTAGCTACCATAGCCACTTTCAATATGTACAACGCCTCTATGTCAGCCTGGGAATCATACACAGTAGCAATATGTACCAATACAAGACCAGATTGCTTCCGGTCATTGGCAAAACAAAAAAAGGCTAGCGGTAAAATAATCAACAATCATCCTTTTTGATATCCGGCCCGGGTATGAACATGAAACAAATATGATCATAAATCAAATGCACGGTAAGAACTATACCCTCATTAGCATCACCATCCTCATTATCACATCACAGGAACACTGGTATACTCACATTCATCACAATCAACATCGGTATGTCGAATACATCTCGCTTCACTGTCCAGCAGTACGCACATTCGACCTTGCCGTCCTTGAACCCTAGCTGGTTCATCCCCGCCTCGCTGGCGATTCCCCCCTTGCGCAAGTGGTTGTTCCAGCGCTGGTTATCCTCTGCGGCAGCGCCCTCCATGTCCTCCTTCGTCTTGTACTTTAACAGCTTGCACGTTGTCATCACACTACCGCGCGAGTCGCCAAACGCCAGCCGTGCGAAATCCTCATAGAACTGCACCACGCTGTCATCATCCAATAACTCTGCCAGGAATACTGGCTGCGGGCGCCCGGGCGTACTGTCCACTGTCGACCGAGGCGTGAAGCTGCGCGACGACGCCCCGGAGTTCGGCATTGATGAACCGCCCGTGTTGACATTGAGATTCGGCTCTTTGCCGAGCAGCACATCCTTCTTCCATCCCGTCAGGATACTGAACTCCTTGCCCACAGCGGCGATCTCGCCCGTCCGACGGCACACGATGGTTGGCGTGCCACACGCGTTGATAAAGTCCTCATATTCCCACAACGTCCGCTGGAAGCACTTCTCCATGAAGATCAGGTCGTCCCGGTTGAGCGTCTTGGTCGTCGCGATGAATGACGGCCGGATCGACGCCAGCGCCTTGGCGATCTGCAGCGTCTTCTGCGGCGGGAAACGTCTTTGAATGAATGCCGTGAGGCCGTGAAAGCGGCTGGTGTATGCGTACGGCTCCTTGACGCTGTCGTAGATGGCCGACGGGTTGCGTTGTCGTCGCCGCACGCCGACCTGTAAGTTCTGATGCTTCAAGCTCGGTGTTGTAATCATCGGTCGTTGTTGTCCATGCGGGGCTAACCCGTTCGACTTGCTTGCCACCGCACTGTGAAACGGGGTCTCCTCAAGCCCAGTCGTCATCTGCGGGCTAGTCGTCGCACCGGGACTGTTGAAATTGGCCGGTCCGCTTTCGATGGCAAATGCATGCGGCGCATCCGCTTTGCTCAAATGTCCAGGAATCGCGCTGCCTTGTCCCGACTGCGGATAAACCCCCGGCATATGCGGTTGTCCCGGGGCCTGTCCGCTGGGCCATTCATTGAGGAGCGGATCCCCAAACATGAACGGCTGCTGGTTGCCTGGGCTTTCCCCAAAGCCTGGTGCCCCAGTAATGGGAGTTGAAGCATATTGTGCCGAGCCACTGCGCCCCATAGACCCGCGCTGCGTGGCCGAATCACTCGGTGAATCGCCCGCCCCCGTCGCCATGTGTCCTAGCATGCCAAACTCCAACGCACCGTATCGGTTCTCAAAATTCATGCTGGAAAGGTCAAAGTTGAAGAGAGCGGGATCACTGGGATCGAAGAAGGGACCGGCGAACGGATTTTGACCCTGGCCTGGGGGACCGGAGACGCTCGTAGACGGTGGTTGCGGGTTGACGGAGGGGAGGCTGTTGGTTCGAGCCGTAGGAGTAGCCTTGAGGTTAAAGGTTGGCGACACCGGCGATTGCGAAGGAAACGAGCCTTGGTTGATGGTATTCTCTTGGTAGACATAGGTAGTCGACTGGGGAGTAGGATAGAAGTTTGCGCCAGCGCTCTGCTGACCGGTCGCGTTCACGGCATTGGCGCCATTCCGAGACAAGGGCAGGCTGTTGCGCATGGGATTGTTGTAGAAGGTCCCGCCAATCCCCGGCATCAACGCTCCATCCGGCGCATCGTGGAGGTACTTGGCCTTCTTCCGGACCCCGTCGTGACACGCATCTTGGAGACCGCGCTTGATGCACCGCTGACACGGTCGCTCATCACCTACGCGAAGCCTCAATTAGTTTGGAAGTTCAGTTAGACACACAAAAGATATGCGCCGCTAAGAGCGCGCCTGTATGGGCGCTAAACGCATGTGTAATCGGAGAAAAAAAAGGGTCGAATGCAAGCAACGCTGGAAAAATAAGGTCAGTCGTACCGCAAGTCAAGTGTGCGCGCTGGCAAGCAAAACAAGCCCGTCTCGCCTTCTTCCTCCGGGGTCTAGACGGGTCTTTCGGGTTGGGCTTCTGGCCATTCGCGGAGGCACCATTCGCAGTCCCGTCGCCGTTGGCCTCGGTCTTCGGCTTGTCGGGTTGTTCTCCGGCGGCACTTATCTCCTGGCTGGCTTCCGTGCGCTCAGCCGAGGGAGCTGGGGAATCTTGCTCCTTCGCTTCCGCGTTCATATCGGCAGACAATCAATTGTAACCGAGGTGTATGTGTGTGCGATACGGCCGTTATCAATTCGTCCGACCGGGTGTCACTCCGCGTCGTAATTCGAGGCGATCAGCGACAGGGTAAATGAAGCAGTTGCAGGGTGGGCGAGCGCGTGGGGTTGCCACCGTAAATTTTGAGCAAGACTGCCTTTGTCGCGTTGCGAACCAGCGCACAACAGAAGGGGATCTTGGTCGAGAGTCCGCTGATCAACCTCGCCAGGCTTTACTCTGGGAGTCGCAAAGAGATCGGTTGTTGGCCGGTCGGGCGCATGGAATCCACACGACGACGGCTAGGAATCGGTTGGCGTAGTGGTGGTAGATAGTGAGGAGGGTCAGCGACCACGAAGGACCTTGCGTGTGCTCAGTCAGCAGCAGTCAGAAAGTGAGACTGACTGTTGCGATGCGCCGAAGTGGTTTCCTGTGGGCGTGGTGAAAAGTGTTCAGGAGAACAATGGTTAAGTAAAATTCCCTTTCCTTTTTTTTTTCTTTTAGTGTCCTCCTTGAATCCTTTCTTTTTCTTCTCTTTTTTTTTTTTTTTTTCTTTTTCCCGAATTTCTATGTCACGCGGCCGGTAGTGGCAATGAGTAGCGTTGGTGGAGCGAACGACTTGCCGGGGCTGCGGGGAAAACCTGTCGTGTCCAAAGGGTCGAGATAGAGCGGATCCGATGAGCAGCGGCGCAATGCGAACGACGCTGACAAGAGGAGGGGAGATGATATATACGAAAGAGGGGGGGAGGGACTAACAGGAGGGGTATGAGAAGGAGGAGGGGAGAATCGAATGCAAGTGGTTAGGAAAACGCGGGGAAGGATTGGAGGAGAGGAGAGACAAGAGAGAAAGAGGAGAGAGAGGAAGAGTCACTTCCAGTAGTCAGAAAGATAGTAGAGAGTAACTAAGAGAGTTGCGACCGACGGACTAATGGACAAGGCAGAAAAAATTCATGACGAGTTTGCAGGCAATTCAAGAGTCCAACACGAGCTGCTTCTTCTCGCATGTCTTGTCAGGTATCGTCCCGGGTGAGCCCAGTACGTTACCATACCGAGTGAGAGAGTCGCGTGTCTGTCTGTTCGCGCAATGACTGGGAGCTGACTCCCCATTCAACAAAGCTGCTGGTCAGACATATGAGTCTCTATCTATACCCTATGCTATCTATCACTTCATATAAAAGAACCAGCGACAGCTCACTGCCCTGGTGGTCTAACTTCCGAGGCTAGAACCCAAATTTGGAGTCCTCAAATCCAAGGCACTTCGGTACTGGAAATAACCACGGATACATACATGAGCCATGAGCTTACATGTGCTTCCACGGCCTCTCCGCATGTGACGACACAGAAACATCGCATCGGTTTTACTTGACCCGAGTATATCTCAAGTCAAAGAAGTCTATCCATCTTCCTCCTCAGAGAAGATTAGGTAGTTATAAATTAGCAGTCTTACCGTAATTGATTTAATTACTCAAACAAGACAAATACGAGCATCAACTCAACTAACTGACAAATCCCTCAGACCCGACAAACTTGCCCTCTGCCTCCAAACAGTCTATACCCGTTGGGTACATACATACCAAAGCATCGGCAAAGACAATGGCGACCATTATGCACATCGGCATACCTATGTACTTTGACTGGTTTCGGCCCGTGCCGATAACAAAAAAGCAATGGTCTATAGTAACTAATCTCGGGGACATGCAGTCAGTTTCTGATTGATGTAGATTTCCAGAAAACTCGGAGTAGAAGAGCCTAGATACTTGACAGGAATCCACTGGCCACGCGAGATTCACAACCTACTAGACTACTTAGAGACACCGAGCGACCACACCTTAACTATATAGCTAGACAGCACGAACCATGACAGCATGTCTATGTACTAGCCCAAAGTTATCGCTCGCAATGGCCAATGCAGGTCTATTTTAGTAGTAGTACCCAAACCCACATACACCATGACTTACATATGTAGTCTATTGACTCCATCCCCTCTCGCACCTCGTCGCAAGAAAAACAAGCAAGTAAAGAATATCAAACACGAAGTTATAACCCACAAGGTCATTACAATACCGTCGTCACTACACCCCATCTACTACTAGTAATCTAGACTTCTTCAAAACACAAACAAATCCCTCAACTATCACCCGACTCACCAATCACAGCTCTTGTCTTCCAGCCTCTTCCAAATCGAAACAATCTAAAAGTCATAAAATCAAATCCTCCAATGGATTTTCATTGCGTGCTTGGAAATGAGCCATTTCTTGCCCTTTCTGTCCCGGGCGGGCCCGATTAGTGGCCCGAGATTTCCCGAGGGGTTTGTATGAAGACCCTTCGTGTGCTTCGTATTGCTTGGGTGAAAATGTGTGTGGTGTGTGGTGTGTGGTGGCTGTGATTGAGGTTGCCGAGGTTAACAGACCAACCATAATATTTGTTATAATGGGGTTGTGGCACAGAATATAATCACCTAATAGAAATAACTTGCTGCGTTGGGTGTCATGGCTTGGGGAGGATTGCTTTGCAGGAACTATAGTGGGTGGTCGCTTCTTCTGTTGTATGGGTGAGCTGCAGCATAGTATCTTACCTATTTGGGACGGTGTTTTGCATGCGTATAACGGTATAACCAGGTTCATAAAATCGTCGGTATTCGTGCTTCTAGTCGACTAATAACTCTATAACATTATGGTCTACCTTGAAATAACCCTCATGCTTTGTCCGCTGTCGCCATGTCCATCCGTCCACTAATAAGCCCGCGTACGCATATCCACCAATCCGAAAGTTGCTATCTATTACTGACCGACTTTTGAGAGTGTGCCTAGGAAGAGCTCGAAGCGTGTAAAGATGAGAAATCTGCGCTGCATCATATCGCATTCTGATTTGGAAAAGAAACCCGCAGCTATGAGCTCCTGCCCGTCCCTTGGGTGGGTATCTACCGTGCAGCAAATCGGCTCTTCTGCCGAATCCTATTCCCGTAGCGGAAAAAGATATACCTGCCCATCAAATCATGTCAGTGGGAATGGTCACCTACTATACCCCGTAAACGACTATCAACTGCATTTGGAGGTGAATAGCCTAAAGCGTGCCGTTGTGACTGCAGCAGTGCAAGAACAACACGTCCACCAGCGAAAAGAGGAATGAATGGGATTGAAAAGGATACAAATCATGCACTTACGGAAACGGCGCCATGACAAGTGTCAGAAAAGCAAGTAGCGAGGTTGCCCAGTGATAACCCAGGTTGTTGTACACTAAAGCCAGCAGTTAGCATGTGGCGGTCAAGGTGTGCTGTGTCATTGGGCAAAAGCATCCACAGTTATATATAGACCAGTGTGAATAGTAAAAGTGAGTAGTGTTCAGTGAACGTCACAGTCCACCTCGGTGGCAGTGACACGACGAATACCATATATCACAAAGGGAGAACTTACTTTGTATGCCGAAAAGTGGAAACACTCCACCAAATATGGAGCGAGCAAAGCTGTTTGCCGCTAAAGCGCTTGCTGCATATGTCGGGTAGGCATCAACTAAGAATGTGAAGATTCCCGAGTACACAAGAATCGTCCTAGAAGATGAGGGATCAATGTAAGTGACAAGAACACTGAGATTACCACTTATTCAAGACACGAAAATACCTACCCTGCTCCGAATAATGCACTTCCAATGAGTGGGGCGATCCAGTGTACCTGAGGGTATATGGTCCAAGCAAAGATGAACAGCCCGATGGTAACAAGTGGACCTCCAGCGATAGCTGTATACTGACCGTTAGAGCAGGCTAGTCAGGCTGCGGACAGAATGACATATGACATACCTGGCGGAAGCCGCCACTCTGGTTGGAAATCATCAGACCTTCCCACAGCTTCTTGATGTTTCAATTCCAGGCGTGTATAGTTGCGACGCCAGAAAGGGTCCGAGAATATCGCAAAGAGCATCCCGACGAACAGGCCTAAAAAGCAAAGACCACGCTGCCATAGCTCGAAGCCATATACGCTCTCGAATACCAACTGAAACGCGCCGAAGAAAAGATAGAGTATGCCCAGCAGGATGGCGGAGAAGATGCACAGGTTTAGGCACATCGGCTCTAGTGTCAATAGCAACAACGGCCTATAGATCGACCGCAATACGGTCTGCGCAACCGAGCGATTCAGCATCTCTATAGGCGCTATCCATCTATCGTCACCGGTTTCCTTGCGGAGCTGCTGTGCCTTACGTCTCAGAAGCCTAAGAAATAAGTCAGAGGAAGTTGATGTTTCCGCAGGTCTATGCGGGCCCTTACACTGGATGGTAAGTCTCCGGAACAAAAAAGCCGATGAGGACTAATAAAACGCCGGTCCAGATGAGAAGCACATAGAAGGTCCATCTCCTGTGGAGTACAGGTAGTCAGCCTTATCCAAGTTCGCAATATCAGGAAGCATACCAAGTTGTGAACTGATTGATAAACCCGCCAACCCTGCAGAAATCTGTCAGTTAATATCAAACGGTATAAGTGTTGTCGATGACCTACAAGGGGCCAACCTCAGGACCGATGAAGGGGGAACTCGTGTAGAGCATCATCGGTGCGCTTAGTTCATGCCGGGCAAACAGGTCACCCACCGTGCCACCCGCCACGCTAAGAAATGCGCTTCCAGCGATTCCATTGAGAAATCGGCATACAATCATCGTCTGGATATTTTTGGCCACGGCACATGGTATCAGCCATACAAGGAAGAGTGTGAACGAGCAAATGTAGATCCGTCTTCGACCATAGAACTGTCAAAGGTCAGCTTGTTAGCAATCACCGTGAGCATGAGGCTTGGTTAATGTACGAACCTCCGAAAGAGGCCCTAACAATAGTGGCCCGACAGCTTTGCACACATGTTAGTATATCGCATTCCAAAAGGTCTGATAGTATGGCTCTAACGCACCAAGACCCCAGATAAAGAAGGATAGACCCAAGGTCGCTATCTCCCGAGAACAACCAAATTCTTCCATGATCTGGTCATAGGTGACAGTGTACATCGAAGAAGTGCAAGTCCTACAGCCATCAATCAGCACCAAACCAATTGCAGTAGCTTCAGGATCTAGCCTACACGCATAGGGAGCCTGCTGAGCATATGATCACGATGAGCCAGCGCCGGACCGTGTTGAAATTGCGCGGGTTCATGGGGTCATTATCATCCCAACTAACAACGAAGCCTTCTGAGGCATCAGAAGCTTCCTCATCTTTATTGCTCAGGACCCTCTCCACAACAGCTTCTTCATCGGCATTCTGGATGCTATAGCCGTCGTTCAGGCTCCAGTTGCGTTCGAGGGGGTGTGATGAAGCAGAGTGGTGTCTGCGCAGCCGCTCTTCATAAGAGGAATTTCGGGCAGTGATGGGAGCGAACATGCCATCAACATTGTCTTCCAGCTTCTCTCCTTCTGAATCACCTCGATCAGCTTGCTCTGCACCTGAGAAATGATCACTTGTGAACATACCTGTGCTTTCTTGCGAGCTTTCCGCCCGCTCGGTTGCAGAAGACATCACTGTCAACAAGACCGGGATGTCAGTTAAGTGCTTCTTCTCTTTTTATCAAATTATGGGGAAGTGAGTGGTCATAATCTTTTTGAGATAGTGAGGATCACCAATGCCGACCGGGGAATTTCACCTGAGACCAGCCGATCTGCAGCGGAGATTTAACCCGTTCACCAGTTACAGAGTTTGGCACAAAGCTTGTTAAAGCTTGGCTGTGACAAGAAGAATATAAGAAGGAAAGGAGACCAGACTAGCCCAAAACACCACACTGGAGTGTACTTACGCGTTGTTTGGAAAGGCAATGCAAAGAAGATCTCAGGCAGTCTTTATATTGTACGATCTCGGCAGCCAATTCAACGGTGGGGACCAGTACATATGACACGGGGCGGCGATTAGGAGTATGGAGCGTTCCAGAGTCACGGTAGGAGGCTGAGTGGGTTAGAAGGATGACGAGAGAGAGGGAAAGTCGGTCGAGCTAAGGTGGTTAGCTCAAGTGTTGCTGATTGCTTGAGGGGGGGAAAATTACTGGTAAGTAAGTAGTAGTAGTCTCGCCTCTCGGCCTCGGAGGAGAGCCGAGTGAGCTCCAACTGAGGGAAGAACACCCCGAGCTGCGAGCTACTACTACTACTTACTACTTACTACTTACTACTCTCAGATGCTGGTCCGTTAACCGTCAGTCAACCGTTGAGTATCAGTGAGTATGCATTGAGACGTCAGTGTTATAGATATGGAGGAGGGACCAGCGCAGGTGAGAGATTCCGCAATGATGACTACTGAGATACAGTACTACTTATCTACTATCTACCTATCTATATTTTCCCCCCGGGTCCGTCTTGTGTTTCTCCGCAGCGTTTGCGGAAGCTTTCCCCACGTGGAGCCGCCACCCGAAGTCATCCATGCATCCGATTACTGTACACTACTAACTGTGTAGTACTTACTACTTTATAACTGGATTTGATAGTATCGATCTGATCTAGGTTGAAAAATAAATCTGAGGGATACGCCCCATGCGCATCGCTGGGCTGGTTTATTCGAGTTCTTCTATTACACTACGCTACCGAGGGTCCAATCATCATGTTTCGCCCAACGACCAACAGGGCATCATTCCCAGCCTATCCAGCAGAATCATAATAGCCACCTTTTCAGTCCCGGAAGAAAAGAGTCAAGTCCAACAAAATGAAGAAAAGAAGTAGAAGAGAGTTAAGAAAAAGTTGAAGCCAGACCCCTAAAACTCCAAAGAATTCACACAGGATAATCGCCCCATACAAAAGCCAAGAGATTCCCGGGGCAAGCCTGCCCACACGAAAACAAAATCAAAATCTCAAAGAGAACGCAACTGTACATGAACATGACGCCGGGGTCATAAGGTCCTTTAGGCGGTGGCCTCAACGGGCTGCTGCTCTGCCTCTCCGCTGGCCCCCTCCTCAGCCCACGAGCCCCAGAGGGCTCGCTTGCCACGGATCTTCAGAGGTCCACCCACAGTCTCCGGCCGTTGTTCAACTTGTACGGCGTCCTTGGTGGCCAGCACGAGGATCTCGAAGAACATCTTGGTAGCGTCCGCCTTGGATGCCTTCTTCTCCGGCAGCAGATCCTGGAACTTCACGCTCTTCTTCTGCTCGGCTGCAGATTCACCCAGGCGTTCCCGGAGGATGTGGACGGCGTGCTTCGTACCAATCGACACGGGACCACTGTCGGCAACGACCGTGTCGTCGACATCCTCCAATGGTTGGTTCATTCCTTCGTCATCACTCAGGCGCAGAGCCTGGTCCTCCTCATCACCGGGGAACTCGATTTCGGAGCGTTGAAGCAGGGTAGAGTCAAGACCAACTCCCTCATCGACCGGCACAATGGCCTCTTCTTCGCCAAGCTCCAGGGCCGGCGCAGTGGCCGCATCCACATCCATGTCGGCAATTCCACTGTCGCGCTTCCGCTTCAGCTCACCCGCCTTCCGGATGGTATCGAAAGAAAGCAAGTCACGTAATTCCGGAGCCCAGCCACGTCCCCGGCCCGCACCAAGCACATTTGAAACAAAATCGCCGTTCTTCTGCATATTCATCAGAGTCAGAAGCACGGGGTCCCGAGGCAGCCACGAGGAGGGCTTCATGATTTCCTCGCGCGTCAAGTACTGTTCCCTGACATCCTTAACCTTTTGGTCGGTTTCCTTGTCCAGTGGCATGAGAATGACCTTGCGGCGCTTTGACGGTTGCTGTTGCTGATCATGCTTGGCGGTAACTGCATCATCTTCTTCAACTTCGACATTCTCGTCTAATTGGAAGGCTTGAGACTTTTCAAGGTCGTCCATCTGGTCGTTCTCCAATTCGGTCAGGAGACTCTCGCGCTCGATTTCATCATCGTTAAGGGCAGGCTCATCATGATCATCGCCGAGGTCCATGGCGTCATCCGTCTGCAGAAGGTTATGGGGTAGAGCGTCGTCACCCAGATCCATCTTATCCAGGGGAGCATCATCTTCGCCAAGGTCCAGTTGCAAGTTGTCCACATCGTTGAATTTGCCCCCATCGCTGAAGAGATCTTCCTCCACGGGGCGGGGAGCTGGGGCATCTCGACCCACTTCCATACTGAAGTCGTGGCCGAGTGGTGTTTCATCTTCGCCCAAATCCAAGTCGACCAGGGTGTGGTCCTCGAGGCGCGCAGGTTCTTGCGAAGCGGAGCGTCGCAAGCCAGTATCCGGGAGCAGCTGACTACCAAAATCCATCGAAGAACCAGGACGCTTAACCTCAGGTTCGAGGTTGAGGGTTTGC